CACTCAACCACTGAGCAATATCTGTAACCCCCATTTTATATTTTATTTAGAGACAGGGTCTCACTGAGTTGCTTAGCATCTCACTTTTGCTGAGACTGGTTTTGAATTTGAGATCCTCCTGCCTCAGCCTCCTGAGCTGCTGTGATTACAGGCATGCACCACCGCGYTCAAATGCATTTGTGTCCTGTGTCTCCTCTCTTTATCCCGCTTTTGCGTGAAAGTTTGATGTTCTCAATGAGATGATCCCATTTTGCACAGACAAAGGTGTATCCAGGCTGCTGGATCTTAGGTTGACTCAGAGACCAGAGACTGGATGAGGCGATCTCCCTGAGCACTTCCTGGAGGATTCAAGGAGGCAGGGTCTGTGGGCTCTTACAGAATAACCAAGAGCCCAGAGAGAGGAGAATCTCCCAAGCAAAAATGTAGCTGGGCTAGGTGTAGCTCAGTGGCAGAGCATTTGCCAAACATGAGTGAGGCCCTGGGCTCAATCCCCAGTACTGCAAAAAAAAAAAAAAAAAAAAAAAAGAAAGAAAGAAAAAAAATTAGCATGCAGCCAACATTCACCTGTATGGGGTACTTTCAACCCTTAGATGAGTTACCTGCCTGCCCCATTACACCACTTGGAATATATTTTTAGAATGTTTGCAAGAGGAATGCACTTGCCAGCTCTTTATGGATCAGTTACAAAACAGAAACTCTTCCTCACTGCTAGGGAGAAATATAGAAGGGGGGAGAAAGAAAGAAAGAAAGAAARAAAAAAGCCTTGCCTGTAATTGAAGGCAGGTCGGGAGATGTTCACGCTTTGAAATGCTCCTTCTTGTGAAATGTTTATGAAACACTTTCCACAACGAGTTATGCAACTAGGACAACAGCTTTGATCATTTTCATCCCCAGTGATATATTCATTAGTGTTGGACTCTTCCCCCCATCCCGGGAGGGCATGTGAAAATGTCCTGGGGAGGGGTCTAAAGAAAAGTACCCCTAAAGGCCCCCCAAAAGGCAGACAATGGGGAGGCCCAGGCACATGTCTGGAAAGAAACACCACTTTCCCCCCTCACTTGTGGTCTTCTCTCTTTTCCTATTTCTGGGCCATTTCTGRTTCTGTCTGGTGGAGTGAGCACCAGGAGTTTTGCCAGCATCTGGCTGCATAACTTCCTACCCATTTCTGAAGCTCCCCGGGCCTCTGTGAGATGGGAAGCAGAGCCCTGTCCTCATCCTCTGGGCTGGAAGGCAGAGCCCAGAAGGGAATGTGTGAAGGGCTTCCACCTCCTCAGAAGGGGCTCCCGCCTTCCAGAAGGAGCTACCGTTTTCTGCAGTGAGTGAAGTCAGAGAGTTCACTGGGATTAGAAAAGATAATCATTCATGATACCTTTTCACCTCCCTGGTCACTGCCCAAGACTCAGTGTAACACCTTTCCACAGCACAGTGGGCGGAGAAGATCCTAGACTAATAAACCTTGTCTGCTCGGAGGACCGTGCTTTGTGTCTGGGACAGAGCAGAGCGTGCCATGGTGGCCCCTGTCCCCAGGGATTAGCCATTCCAGGTAGAGCCTGGAGAAATATTCCACTTGCATGAGAAAAACTGCCAGAGAGACCCTGGAGGGGATCTTCGGGTTCCAGGCAGGCTGTGGGTTTGGTTGGGTTTTCACAAGTACGGGGGAAATTGGGTTTTCGTCCAATTCGCCTGCGGTTCTCACCTTAGAAGTCAATGGGATCCAACAGAAGTCTCTCTATCTCATCTTCCAGATCCACAGCCAACACCCAGTTGCCTGGAAAGGTTCCAACCTTTTCCACTCGACAGCTGTGAAAAGGGATTTTTTGGATTAGAGAAGACTTTATCTCTTGATTTCTTAGTTTCTTAGCCCCTGTTCACAGGTATGCAGGAGGCAGTACCCTCTCCACTCCCCTTCCTATTCCAGTTCTGTGTTGTTTTTTTTTTTTTTTCATTTTCTTTTTTCTTTTTGGTACCAGGGATTGAACCCAGGGGCCTCTAGCCACTGAGTCACATCCCTAGCCATTTTTTATATTTTATTTAGAGACAGGGTCTTGCTGAATTGCTGAGGATGGCTTTGAACTTGGGATCCTCCTACCTCGGCCTCTGGAGCTGCTGGGATTACAAGTCCATGCCACTGTGYTCTGACCCAACGGAGCAGAGCCACGATTTTATTTCTTTGTGGTGCTGGGGTTGAACCCAGCGAGTGCTACGCCCCCCAGTCAGCAAAGCTGAAATTTTAAAACTTATCACCCAGAAAGAGGTCTCCTTGTTGTCTTTCAATTTGGCTAATTTAGGATTGTCTTCTTTGGGGGTTACCATTAGCACCTCACCCCCGAGGGTGAGGAATTAGAAAAAATAATAGAGTAGAAAGTCCGTGAAGCCAGAAAAAAAAATCCAAAGTGGAATACAGAAAGCCCCATATCCCACCCAAGGGACTTCTACTACAAGAGTACTTCATTTTCAGAAGTGGGAGGTCAGGAGTGTCCCCCAAAGGAGTTTGGAGGGCAATGGATCCAGAAAGCAGATGAAAGGGTGAGTCTTCTTTTATGGTGGCTCTGGTTTCTGAAATTAAGTGTTGCAGGATGACCTGGCAGGGATTCTAACAGATAGCGCCTGGGTTGGAAGCAAAGCGCATGTTTTCAAGCTCTGTCASGGCTGCACCTCCTTATCTCTCCATTGCGCATAATGAGTCTGTAAAGGAACCTCTGCCACTTGCCTCCAAGCTGGAGCTGAGCCAGGTTGCTGGAGGCGCTTCCACCAGCAAGATTTCACCTCCAGCTTTTCACGGTTTCTCTGGTCCCAGTCCTCCGTCTGTCCTGCTGCCCCCCCCCACCCGGGGGGGGGGTGGGGTGGGTTGGGGTGGGTAGAGATGCCTTGGTATGAGAGAGGGACAGAGCAGGGATGGGAGCTGGAGGTCAAGCCTTTTCTTTTCTCAGAGCAAACCTTAAAGCTCTTGTGGTGGTTGTTTTGAGATAAGTAGTTTTATCRTCTATTTCTAGTTTTAAAAAACCTGCTTACAGGTGTTTCCAGGAACCTAGGATGTGGAAACTCTAATTTCTGGGTGCAGAACTCTGGCACTAGCACTTCTTAAAGGTGCCTAGAGTGAATGATATGCAGAGCTCAAGGGGCGTGGGGGTGGGGCGAAGGGGGGCTCACTGGAGACCACTCACATACCAAAACTTTTTGAGATTTCAGAAAGTTACTTTCTGTCCTCATAGTGCAACTGTCCATCTTGTTTCCTCCTCTTTGCTTCCCAGGTTCCAGGATGGTCTCAAAAAATAAAGACTGTGCCTGTGAGAGCCAACTTCTTACCATTTTCCAGGGCTTTTCAGTGTCCTCTTGGATCTGCTTCACCCAAGAACACTGCAGGAACCTGGATTAGCCAAGCTGCCAAATGCTCGGGGAGAAAGGCAGAGAAACCATGTAGTCTTTGCAAAACTGATGGGGAAACTGAGTCCCATAAAGGCAGAATGATTGCTCAAGATTCCGTAAATTAGAATCGGAGTCAGGCCTGGAAACGGGGACAACCTCGCTCCCTGTCCAGTGTCTTCCTCGCCTTGTCTTATTGGAGTCTCTGCAGAGGTGGATTTTTGTCTTTTATTCAATTAACATTCCTTGACTTCCCACAGGAGCAAGCAAGCCACCATATGTAGGATATTAATTCTGCCCTTGGTCTCCAGTGTCACTMGGGAGAACTTTTCTAACTGTCCTAACTGCCCTACTGAAGTGTTCCAAAGTGTCATTCTCTATGGGGATGAAGCACAAATACAGCTGTTAGTCTCAACTTTTTACTTGGGTTAAAATAATCCCGACAGGAGAGATACGGATGTCAGTGATATTCCCACTGTAGATCAAGAAAGTGGTTTCTGTCATAATCTGTRTGGCCATTTCCATCTGGGTAGGGGACAACCAGCTGTCCTATTCAAAGGGTCTTGTCAATGTCTTTTATAAGGTGTGGTCTAGATCCTGTGCTTTTTGCCATATTATATGAATCCAAAGTCACTTGGCTCCCCTCCCAGTGGACTTCCTGAAAGGCTATAAGAGAGTAGTTTTCCTGGGGTGGAGCACCTCCTGCCCTGCCCCAGGACACCTGGGAAGCCCACAGGTGGGTGGTTGGTGTGTCACTGAAGGGTGGTGGAAACTGGAGAGAGCTGGAAAGCACCACAGGCCCTGAAGGCTGCAATTGCAGCGGTGGCTGTGAAGAAGACATGTCCCCACCTGTAGGGAGACAGGCAAATTGTCCCCAGAGCCACACAGGCCAAGAGGACCCCTACAGAGGCAGCTTAGCACAGAGAGGGGAGAAGAAGAGATCAAGGGAAGCCCTGTTCTCCAGATCAGTGGTTTCCAGAGTAGGTGTTCATGGATAGGCTTCCCCAGGAAAATAAAAAAGACTTGGGGAAATCAAAAAGGGTTGCCATTTCTTCACCGTTTGTGTGTATGTTCTTCTGAGGTTCTGAACTACACTTCCATCCCTTTTCATTTTGAGAAAGAATCTTTCTAAATTTCCCAGGCTGGYGTCAAACTTGTGATCCTCCTGCCTCAGCCTTCTGAGTCCCTGGGATTACAGGCATGCACCACTGTGCCCGRCCAATGCTTTATTCTTTGGAGTGGAGAATTTTTAAAAATATCATTCAGGATTACCACCATTTCATTTTTWAAAAATCCCAATAGCTTCTCTGCTAAGGAAAAAAAAATTCCATCTCAGAATTTTTACCAGAATTTCATCCATTGAGCTTTATTTTGAAGTCACTACAACATCCTGGTTTTTCTCATTTGAATGAGGAAGAGCATTAATCACCCTCAGCACAGTGTTGGGGCACCGCCAGCCTAAGCAGGCTCCCTGTCTTACAGAGCATTGCGCCAGAGTCCAGTGGCTACACACATGTCCCTGACCAGCTGCCCTGCCCAAGGTCGTCCCTCCTCTCCTAGCTTTGTCTTCTCCACATTTCCATTTCTGCCCACCTGTAGAGACCCAGAGCTGACACTCCTTCCACCTCTGCTTGCAGATTAAAACGGAGGACCTCAGTGACTCCCTGCAGCAGACCCTCTCCCACCGGCCATGCCACCTGAGCCAAGGACCTGCCATGATGTCTGGGAACCAAATGTCTGGGGTGAGTACCAACCCATGCCAGGGAATCCTGATTTTTTTCAGTGGGCCAGCGAGTTTAATCCAATCCCTCTACAAAATCTAGACTTCTACACTGGGCACTTTGTGAATCTATTTGGGTCTGAAGAACCCCCTGTAGGCAATGGGAGGACATCTAGGAGGCCTGAGAAAGGGGAGGGGCACCCCTAAATAGTCCATGAAAGGTAAATCCTGGCTAAGAATGTGGAGAGGCAGGTCTCTACCTCTGTGGGACAAAAGGACCCAGTCTTGCCAACGTGAAGGACCTAACAGCTATGCTACTGGTGCCTCAGGGCAGTCTGTGGTGACACATACARCCACAGAAGTTTTCTGTCCCTAGTGGGCCCACTCTGTCTCCTCCAAGGTTATATGTCAAAGCCAAACTAGGATGGAGTGCTGGTGCGGGAAGAGAGGCGTACTGAGACAGTAACAGTGCAGGTCTTAGCTGGTGTTCCTGGGGCCAGCTCTTTTCTCAGTTTGGGTCACCTGGGGAAGAAAGAGCCTCCCTTGTCCCAGAAATTGCGGCATTCCCTCACCCCTTCCTTCAGCAAGGGTTACCAAATCTCTCCACACAGACTTAAGCTCAACCCTGTAGGGGTACCGAGCCCTGGGGTCTGAGTCACAGAAGACTCCCAGATTCCCCAAAAGTTGGGATTGCTATTTCTGCCTGAGCTGGTGAGAGAAATCCAGGGTAAATGGACTTTCTGTTGAACCAATTTGGTTTTATTAAGAASTCCATAGCTTGCCCCATCTCCCAACTCCCTCCTCAATAATGTCTAGAAAGACTCAGATATGGAAATGGCTAAAGCATGGCTTTGGGCATAATCAAGTGACATGTGGTTAAAAAATAAACAAAAGACACTTGGGATTGCATGCCATTTCTAGAATAAATCTTTCAGACATGGGTAATATCCAACGTTGGCCCTTGGGGCATTTACAGTTGTGAGACACAGTTGACACACAGAAAAATTAAATCATGAGGCCAGAATTAAGTGCATTGCGAGGACTGCGGGGCTGAGCAGGGAAGCGTAACAGCACCTGCTGCATCAGTGGAGTAGCTACTGTGTGCCAKGTGCCGGGGCCACATGGTAGCATGAGACAAGGTCACTGCCTGCAAACTTCAAGTCTGAACACGGAGGGCCTRGGTGGGCCGCAGGCTGAGGGAGCTAGGGTCCCCAAGCTTTTAAATTCTGCTCTGTTTGTGCCTCTTCCCTCTTGCAGGACATGGCTTCTCTCCATCCGCTCCAGCAGCTTGTGCTGGTTCCCGGCCACTTGCAGTCTGTTTCCCAGTTCCTGCTTTCTCAGACCCAGCCTGGGCAGCAAGGTGAGAACCTGGGAGTTCCACAGAGCCTGAGTCCGGTCGGGTACTACTGCTGCCTGCTGGGTCCTGGACACAGGGAACTGCTTACCCCTCTAGTGTTCAGATCAGCTTGTCAGGATAGGCTCCTGGCAGTGCCTCTGTAGGTTTAGTGCCTTCCCTACTGCCCCTGCCCAGCCTCTTGCCAGGACTGGCCCACCACCTCCGTTTCATGGAGAGTTGAGACTGAAAGCACAGGAGTGGTTGGTGGGCAGGGGTACAGGGACGGAGGAGCCCCCTGGGAAGTGCCGCGCAGATACCCAGATACCTTCTGATTCCTGGGCAATCTTGCCAGACTGATGCAGACTTTGACCTCCTGAAGCCTGGCTGGGATTTTATTTGGATGGAGCAGCAGTGCCTCCCACAGGCTGTAGAAGGCTTTTCAGGTTGTCTTTGCAGATATGTCACTCCCAGGGAGCTTCTCTCTGGCCAAGAGCAAACAGACAGTGCTCTTAATCATGATAACTAACATTTCTTGAGCACAATGTGCTAAGGGTTCTGCTAAGTGATATTCCTGACTTATTCCTTAGAATAACCTCGTAGGGTAGGCAGTTGCATTATGCCTCTGATGACCTACTGGGAAGTTCCAGAGCAGTCTGAGATCTTTGCTCTTGGCCATCACACTACACTGCTTCTCCCACTCCCRTCTCCACCAACTGGGGCTGAAAATGGTGGAGAAAATATAAATTCTTGCCAGTTTTACAAATCCCAAGTAAAGGATTTGAAATTCCAGACTCCAAACAAAATGCAAATCTGCCTTCCATCATTAGCACCTGCCCAGACTGTAGTCCCTATACTTAATGTTTAAGGCATCTTGGAATATCATTAGGATGAACAGGAACATATTTGAACCTTCAAGTGTTTATTTCAGCTAAACAGCACACATCATAGGAATAGAAAGATAACATAATTCAATGTTTGCAGAAGACAAGAGAGTGACATGAAAATGTCCCAGACACATAACCAGTGAGTTTTATATATGATGCAAGAAGAGGGGGGAAATTTGAAATTTTGAGTCAGAATAGCTCATTGCTTAAAAAAGAAAATCACTCACTATCTATGTGTCCTTGGGGAAATTCACTTAATGTCTCTAAACTTCTATTACCTTCTCCCTAAAAAAGAACGAATACTAAAACACTACTTCCCAAGGTTATTGAGAATTACTTGAAATAATGCAGGTGAGAAGACTTTGTACACTTCACAGTGCAATATCAAGTTGGAGTTGCTATTGGTACTAAGTCTCAGGGTTCCTATAAGAGCTTTATTGCCTATTTATTTGTTTATTAAGTATAGATAGATAGCTTTATTTATTTTTATGTGGGGCTGAAGATTGGACCCAGTGCCTCATGTGCTAGGCAAGCGCTCTAGCACTGAGCCGTAACCTCAGCCCAGCCTATTTATTTTAATAAGGAACAATTATCCCCTGACTTTTCATGACTGAAGAGCATAAAGGTCAACATCAGCAGATGCAGAACATCAATGACCCAAAACAGCCTAGGGACAACAGACACCCCAGGGTGCTTCTTTGGGGTGATTGGGGTGACCTGCCCCCTCATTGTCTGCTTTGCCAGTTTGATAGTCCCACCCCTGCTGTGAGAGTTTGGAATTCCAGTTGCAGGTTTCCCGAGGTTGGGGGTCACCTATCATGGCCACAGACAGGCAGAGCCTTTATGGACATGGAGAAAGAAGGAGAAAGAGGTCCCCAGGCAGTGCCGCAGGTGTTACCTTACCACCCAAGGGAGTGTCCTTCCCCTCTTTCTGCCCTTCCTCCCAACTAAACAGTGTCCTGGTTGGCCGGAAGCCTCTGACCAATGGCCCACTGCCCTTCAGAGCTGCATGGCGCCATCTGCTTGGTCTGACATTCCTGCAGATTTAGCATGGCCTTTTGTAGCCATCCCAGTTACTTCCCCGCAGGAAAAACTGAAATTCTCATCTCCCACTGAGATTCTCAGCCATCGCCCTGCACCCTGCCCTCCGGGTTCCTCAGCCTTGCTCGTCAGATCCCAGCCTAGATTGGCTTGACCCTCCTTAGTCTTTGTGCTTCTCCAGGCAGGCAGACAAGCGGAAGGACTGGTTTGGGGACTGCTGTTTACATCTCTGTTTATCCCTGTGTCTGGTTTGCCTCCGCCTGTATGTGGCAATACCTGGCAGTGCCTATGGGGGCCTCTCCACAGGGCTTCAGGAGGGTCCAGAGACTTGATCAGTAGCAGGTGGGGGGACAGTACTCCTTGGTTCCAGGGTTGAGCGTGTCCTTCAGATGGCCTGGTATTTATTGTTTCTTCCTTTATCTGTCCCCCCTTTACAGGTCTGCAGCCAAATCTTCTCCCCTTTCCACAACAGAACAGCCTCATCCTCCCACAGACGGGGCCTGGCCTTGCATCCCAGGTAAACAGCACATTCCTCCTGTTTCCTCTCGGAATGTCTTAGCTCTAGGCAGAGTTCAGCTCCTTGGGGTTTCCCTATCCCTTTACTAGGGTACTTACTCCTCTGGGAAAAGGAACCAGCCAGGCACTGCAGCATAGAGAAWTCCAAGGTGCAGTTAGGGGAGATGRTTTTCTCACTAAAGTGAGGCTAGAATGAGAACCCAGGGGTTCCAACTCCCACTCTAACCTGCAGCGTGTTGCAGGCCCTAGTAGCTCTCCTCTGAAGACCAGGAGTCATCTAGCTCCCCAGGTATGGCAAGGTGACCACCATGTCTCCCTGGGTGCTCTCAAGCCCCAAGAAGGAGAGTTGAGTACCGTAGGCCTGATGTCCTGGACTACAAAGCCCATGTCTCTCACCTCAGGCCCACTGTTCCAGACTGTGTCCTGCAGTGGGCACATGTCTGGGTTTAGGAGAGAGGCCATTTGCAGAGCTACCATGGTTCCACACAGTGCCTGTTTGCCACTTAGGGAAAAAAAGATACCTCTTTATCTGGCCAGCTGCAGCTTCGTGCCAGGTGTGTGGCTTGGCAACAGCAGCAGTGGCTCTATCTACTCCCTTATCTGGGCGCTCCTATGAAGTGGCAGGACTTGTCTCTCTACAGATGGATGGGATGGTTGGAAGTGACTGCAGACACGTACAGTGTCCTTTCTCTGTGCTAAGATCCCCATGGCTTCTTAAGGGCCCCAGCTTTGCGGAGGGCTAGTGGAGGAGTGGAAGCAGGAGACGCCACCTAGTGGTTAAAAKAAATGGTGACACCAGAATGGTGAACTGCACCTTACCTCCTCCTGGCTGCTTCCAGAGTCTCATGGTCATAGACTTGGATCTGGAAGAGGACCTAGTGAGAATTCAAGATAAATTCTCTCATCTTCTAACATTTGATCATGAAGAAACTGGTTGCAGAGAAACCATTTAGAAGATTATTGAGATCATGGTAGTTGGTGTGGGATGGTGCACCTGTAGTCCCAGGGCTACTTGGGATGCTGGGGCAAGAGGTTCACTTGAACCCAGAAGTTCAAAGACAGTCTGGGAAACATAGTAAGACTTCATCTCAAAAAAAAAAAAAAAGAAGAAGAAGAAGATTGTTCTGGAGGGTAATAAGGGATTATCTTAGAGTTATGGTAATAAGAATAGAGAGAAGGAATGGGTAAGAAGGTGTTTAAGAAGTCGAATCTATGCTATTTGATAAYTAATTTTTAAAATTGTTGTACCGGAGGTTAAACCCAGGGGCACTTAACCACTGAGCAACATCCCCAGACCTTTTTTTGTATTTTATTTAAAGACAGGCTCTTATTGAGTTGCTTAGGGCCTCACTAAGTTGCTAAGACTGGCTTTGAACTTGTGATCCTCCTGCCTCAGCCTCCTGAGCTGCTGGGATTACAGGCGTTCACTGACCAGCTTGGTAACTGATGTGATGTGACGGGGATGGGGGAGGAAAGTGGTCTAGCAGAGAACTCAATAAGTATTTGTCAAATGAAAGAACAAATAATGAAAAGAAAGGTCCAAAGAAGACTGAGACTTTGCCTTGAAGGTCCAGTGTATGCCACCTCCCTGCCCATCCTCTCCCTACAAAACAGGGACCGCTCCATGATGGTTTTCAATCCATTCTGTTTAAAAGACTTTTCTTGGGGAAAAGAGTCCTTAACTTGCCTCTGGTTCTTTTCTCCTCTGCACTATAAGGATGCCCACCTGACTGGTAACCCTGAATATCTTTGGGAGAGAGGAGTTAGCTCARTTTTGGAAAAGAGAATACCGGGAAGCAGAGAGAAAGTGGATCTAGCCCGAGTTGTCCACATGGGCAGTAGCCTCCGAGCTGACACAGTGCCTGGCCCCCTAGATGTGGATTGCACTCATCTTTGTGGAATCAGAGTTGTTTCAAGATTGGATTTCTGACCCTCGAACAGGCAGATTTAAGAGTACATTTCCCTCCAAAAGCAGACTAAAGAAAGTATTTCCTGGGGGCTGGGGTTGTGGCTCAGTGGTAGATCGCTTGCCTAGCATGTGTGAGGCACAGGGTTCGGTCCTCAGCACAGCATAAAAATATATAAATAAAGTAGAGGTATTGTGTCCATCTACAACTAAAAAAAAATTTTTTTTAAAGTATTTCCTGACAACCACGAATGAGATCAAGGCACATTTCAATCACACTGATAAATATACCTTTGATTAAAACCAAAACACTCTTGCAAGAGAAAATGGTGGTGTAGAAAGTAAAGTAGTGCTCATGCAGTTCGAGACCATGTGGAAGTTCTGTTAAAGCCATGAGTTCCCGATATCCTCTGTTATCTTCAGTTGGTGCCTGTTGGACACCTCAAGTTACCTTGCATATGGAAAAACACAGACAAGGTAAACACCTTTTTTCTTGTCCCATTCTGAGATTTGTTTTTGGAATCTCTGTAAACAACCTTGCAATCTCCTTTTATGGTGGAAAACTGAAAGGAGGAAATAACCTGCTCAAACAGTGAGTCATGGACCAAAACCCAGAAAGCCACCTCCCTATCCTGAACTCCTGTGGTTTCTGCCCCAGGTAGCCCAGTTATTTGCTATATCATTATAGAAACTCCATGTTCCACTTCCACACCATTACTAATACAGGACTAAATGTATCCGAGCCATCCTCTAATGGGACCTGTTAGTAACAAACTCCACAGAGAATGTTCTTCAGCCTGTTGAATCTTTGTGGACCTGCTTGGTATATGTTCCCCTACCAGGCAGTTGGGCGCCCTGGGCTGCCAGGATCCTCTTTAGAACCCCATCTGGAAACATCACAGCATCTCCCAGTGCCTAAGCATCTACCCAACTCTGGAGGGGCAGATGAGCCTAGTGACCTCGAGGAGCTGGAAAAGTTTGCCAAGACCTTCAAGCAGAGGCGCATTAAGCTGGGCTTCACACAGGTTTGGTTTGGGGGTAGGAGATGGAAAGAGTRAAGTTGAGAGAGGGGGAATGGGGCTTCCCAAGTGCAGGATTCAAGAGCTACCTGAGGCTTCATGTGTTTGGAACAAGCCCTTCATGTCCCTGAGTTCCCCGAGAAGAGAGCGCAGTTATCAGTAGCGGGGCAACTGAGGACATTGCTGGTGGGGGAGGAGAGGAAGGAAGGCCCGGAAAGGACTCAGTCTATTCCTAGTCTAAGGACATATGTTCCTCTACCAGGCAGTGGGAAAAGACTTAGAAAGGAGCTGAAGTCATGGGTGGGTACTTATGGTGTTGCTGGATGTGTGATGGGGCCAGCGTGGCGGGGATGCAGGCAACAGGAGCCTGTCCATCACACCCCTCCCTCTCGGTCCCCTGTGCAGGGCGATGTAGGCTTGGCGATGGGAAAGCTGTATGGCAACGACTTCAGCCAGACCACCATCTCACGGTTCGAGGCCCTCAACCTGAGCTTCAAGAACATGTGCAAGCTCAAGCCGCTACTAGAGAAGTGGCTGAATGATGCAGGTAGGCCTGGAAGAGGGGACGTGGAGGGGGACCTAGACGAGGCCTTAGGAATCATTCCAGTGATGTGTGTATGTACAGGGCTTTAGAGGTTGCAGAAATAGCACCCCTTTCTCCTCCTCCTGATTCTAGAATGAATTGAGAAATAAGACATAGGAGACAGGCAAGTAGAGATGACAGGATCAGCTTTATTACTGAGAAAGCCCTTTGTGGGACATGACTTTAGTTCTGTAGCCATGAAGATGTGCTCCCAGGTCATTCCACTTCCTACCCCAGAACCACCCAGCCTAGACCTTAGGAATCTCCCTGGAGGTAAATCTGGGTCTGCAGGGCAGATGCACTTACCCAGATTGCTCTCTAGAGTAGATCTAGAGAGATAGGACAGTTAGGCTTCAAGAGACTCACTGGGATGGGGAGACCACAGCACAGCACAAGGTCTTCCCTAGACACTTCTGGAGTAGGATTTAGGGGACAGGCAGCAATTGCCATCTAGACTGGCCAAGTATRCAGAAGGATCCGTGAGGATCAGTCTTTCTGAGAGGTCAAGGTTGTAAGCCAAGGGGCCAGGTGTTTGGGACAATGCCAGAAGAGTTTGGTGTCAGGGTGAGCATAAGACAGGGTTTCTCAATCCGGCAATATGGACATTTGTGGCCTATTGTTGTGGGGACTGGCCTATACATTGCAGAATAGTTAACAGCCACCTGCCCTGGGTTGAGACACCTCAAAATGTCTCCAGACACTGCCAAGTGTCCCCAGGGGAGTGGTGGTGCAGTGGCCCCTATTTGAGAACCCCTGGTCTAGGTGAAGAGGGCAGACAGGGCAGGGTGGATAGCCAGAGTGGGTATGTGACCCTCGTTGAAGTCCCTCCATGCAGAAGCTTGGGAGGGAGCAAGGAAGTCCTCCCCCATCAGGCCGGCCCTGAGACAACTTCTACTGAAGCACTGAAGTAGAAGGAATGATCAGAGGTGCTGGGTGTAGGGGCACACACCTGTAATCCCAGCTAATTGGGAGGCTGAAGCAGGAGGATCATAAGTTGAAGGCCAGCCTAGACAACTTAGCAAGACCCTGGCTCAAAATAAAAAGGGATGGRGATATAGCTCAGTGGTAGAGTGAACCTGATTTCAAGCCCCAGTACCAAAATGAATAAATAAATAAGAGAGAGAGAAGAAGAAAAGAAACGACTAGAGGGCCCGAGAATTTTTGAGAAAGGGCCTATGGGTCATCTCAGAGTGACCCCGACTGATGCTTCAGTCCTTCCTAAGGCATAACCCTCCTGCCCAGTTACAGCCTTAGCTTCAGCACTCTTGCTGACCAACAAATGGCTTCACTACAAACATTCTGCCACCAAGTACCAGTGTCTTTGGCTCAGAATGCCATTTTACTTGGTGTTCACATCCAGACATATCTCTAAGAAACAAAGTCGCCAGTGTTACTTGGAGCTCTGCCCGTGCCCACTCACACCCACACATGCCGCTCATGTCCGGACTTCCCTGAACCATGACCGCAAACACTGGAGACTGTGGTGAGAGGCAGGAGGACCTTTGCCCAGAGCAACGAGAAGAAGCAGGATCTTGGTCTGTTCTGGGTCCCCTGTTGCGGGAGGGGGCCCGTCCTGAAAGAGCTACTGCAGAACCCACTGGGAAGGGCTGTAGGACCTCGAGTCCACCGTGGCAGGGCCTGACCCCCTGTGCATCCCCTTCTCTGAGCTTCTCTTGCTCCTGTGCCTTCCTCAGAGTCCTCTCCGTCTGACCCCTCAGTGAGCGCACCTAACTCCTACCCCACCCTCAGCGAAGTGTTTGGCAGGAAGAGGAAGAAACGGACCAGCATCGAGACCAACATCCGCCTGACTCTGGAGAAGAGATTTCAAGATGTGAGCAGCCCCCTCTGTGAGAGTGGGTGGGCCGACCTACTCAGGTGGACGAGGAGGCACCACAGGGCTGGGAGGCTGGGCCCTGGGCACCAGCTCTTTCCCCAGCACACCTGTCACATCACCTTCTGTCTCCAAGTGCCCTGGGATTTGAGTGGAAGGCTGCCCTTCACCTAGGGTTCCAGAAGCATCTCCCCACCACTGAACCTTTGTATTCTGGCATTTATTTGGAATCCGTTGTCCCTCTCACTAAGAGGAATATAGAGTCCCAGGAGATTGTGTCCAATCAGGGTAAAGGTAAAAAACAGGGTGTCCTATATAAACTCCATCTTTTTAAAGATAAATTTTGCATTTTTCAAATTAGAAAGATAATAAAGTTTCATCCTAAACAATTTGGAAAATACAGGGAAAGAAATARAAAGAAAAAAATGTACCCTCCAGTGCTATCTGAATACATGTTCTTCTATTCCCTTTTCCTRTGCACATTTAAGTGCTTGTGACCATATTGTGCACTTGTTATCATATTATATGTGTTTATGAACTTTTGTGACAAAAGCATGTGGAAGCTATGGACCYCACCAGGAGCCAGGGAACAGAAGCCCAAGAGCTTCCAGCCAGGATCTCTCAGATTCCAGCCTCCAGAGCCATGCTTGGTACCACCCACCTCTGAGGCCCAGGCTCTCACCCAAACTTATAGGCCTGAGCCTGAGATTGCCACCCCACTARCAGATCCCCCAGTGCACTTGGCTCAGGGACTTGATGGCTGCATCCTGCTGGCAGGATTCCCAAAGCTGGCATTCCCTTCTCAGAACAGGACAGTATAGGGTGGTTGCAGAAGTGTGGAGAGAGGGGCTCAACCACAGACTGGAGCTGGGTTGATGGCACACGCCTGTAATCCCTACTGCATGGGAGGCTGAGACAGGAGGATCACAAGTTCAAAGCCAGTCTCAGCAACTTAATGAGGCCCTAAACAACTTAGCAAGACCCTGTCTTTAAATAAAATATTTATAGGGCTGGGAATGTGGTTCAGTGGTTGAGTGCCTCTGGGTCTGGGTTCAATTCCCAGCACCAAAACATAAAAATAGACCTGGGTGGCAGGGCCTGAACCAGCATGATGACCTCATATTCTTGCACAGCTACCCTGAAGACGTGACAAGGGCATGAGTTTTAGCTTCCTCCTCTCCTTGTAAGAGATGACAAGGGGAAGGATATCAGGTTCTGAGAAAGCACGGGTTCTGGGGATTCTGCTCCCCACCCCACGTAGCTCACCCTGGACCTCTGTCCTCAGAGCTGCTCCTGAGGGAAGGAGCCAGAGCCGAGACTTGCTGTTATGGAGCCTCTATTCTGTGTCAGTTCTTTGCTTGGCAATTTATACACATTTTCTCATTTAATCCTCACCGTAACCCTCAATTGTGGGCACTATTGTTCTTATTTCATAGATAAGCCTGAGGCTCAGATAGGTTAATAAAGTTTCCCAAAGACACACAGTGTGTAGTGATTAAGAGGATCCCATCCTAGAACTGACTCTAAAGCTTCTGATCCATATGTTGTTCAATCCTGCTTCTTTGGAACATCTATCCCTCATCCCTGATTTTTGATCCTGTTCCCTTCTGCTGATCACATTCTGTCCCTTCATCCCTGTAGAACCCTAAACCCAGTTCAGAAGAGATYTCCATGATTGCAGAGCAGCTGTCCATGGAGAARGAGGTGGTGAGGGTCTGGTTYTGCAACCGACGCCAGAAGGAGAAGCGAATCAACTGCCCTGTGGCCACACCCATGAAGTCACCTGTCTACAACTCCCGAATGGTAAGTGGCCAGGAACCAAGTTGCCTGCCAGGTACTTATGGGCAGTGCAGGGGGATGGGGGGGCGACACAGAGTCACCTRCACCCTGGGAAGGTGGTGGTTGGTGGGGTGCAGGATATGCAGTACATAAATAAGCAAGGAGATGCTGAGTGTAATACATAACATAAAGAAGACCGGAAGGGCAACGGGGTGTAAAGTGATGGGTGGGAGGATTTTTAAGAGTGAGATTAGCGAGGACCTCTTCGTTAAGGTAGCATTTGAGCAGAGCTCTAAGTGTTGCTAGGAAATGAAATACGTGGATATCTGGGGGAAAGAGGGACCCAGGCAGAGGGCCAACAAGTAAAAGATGCTGCATGTTCCAGGAGCAGCAAGGAAGCCATTGTGCCTGGGGCAGAGCAAGGAGAGGAAGGAAGGAGAAGTAGCGGGGAGCAGACTCCCCCGGGGTCTCGGAGTCCACCAAAGGACCTGAGATTCTAGTTTCAATAGAGCGAGAGATGGTTGGAGAGTCCTGCAGGGAAGTCTGAGCGGGTTGACATGGGCTTCTGCGTGGAGAGTGACCTGGGTGGAGGCGAGGAGAATTATGGTCATCAGCCTGAGAGAGGTGGAGGCTTGGCTGGGGTGGTAGCCATGGTGACGGGGGTGAGACATGGTAGGACTTTGCATAAACTTCAGCTGTGGAGCCAACAGGATGTGCCAATGACTCAGTAGGGACTGTGAGGAAAGGAGCAAAGGTGACTTTAAAAGGTTTTGGAAACTGCACAGCTGGTTGGGAGGCCCCATTAGCTTTAGAGATGAAGATGGCAGGAAAAGCAGGCTTGAGGGACAAAAGAACTTGAGAATTTGGGGCGGTTTTATTAAGTTGGACATGCTACTAGGCATCCAAGAGGAACTGGGGAGTTAAGTCTGTGACTCTGGTGTCCAAGGGAGAAGTCAGGGTGGGAATAATTTGGAGTTCCAGGAATATATGTGGAAATTTGGGGGATAGGGGAACACGGGACCTGGATGGCAGGGGAGAAGGTTTTCTCCCCTATCTCTGGGATGGTGATGGTTGAAGGTCAAGAAAGTTGAAGATGATGATGTCCTTGGGTCTTCTAGCACCTACTGTGGTTGAAATTCAGCCTTGTTGGACCACTCCTCAGTATTTATCCTAAAAAATTAAAATCAGCACACTATAGTGATACCTGCACACCCATGTTTATAGCAGCACGGTTCACAGTAGCCAAACCATGGAACCAGCTAGTGTCCATCAATAGATGAATGGATAAAGAAAATGTGGTAAATATACACAATGGAGTTTTATTCAACCATAAAGAAGAATGAAATCATGTCATTTGAGGAAAATGGATGGAACTCGACAACATTGTTAAGGGAAGTAAGCCAACTCAGAATGTCAAGAGTTATATGTTTTCTCTCATGTGGAAGCTAGAGAGGAAAAAGGAAAAGAAATGTGGGAGAGGATCTCATGAAAATAGAAGGGCCATCAGTAGAGGAAAGGGACCAAGGAGAGGGAGGAGGGAGGAAAGGGGAAATACTGGGGAATGATGTCAGCCAAATTATGTTGTTATATGGCGTTATATGTGTGGCTATGTAACAACAAATTCCACCATCATATATAATTATAATGCACCAATAATCAAAATTGAAAAAAAAATCAGCCTTATCAGGTGAGACACAGCAATTTCATAAAAATTATAGCACTATTGAGTTTTCACCAAACATCTGTTGACCACCTACTGTATGTTGGCCTTTGTGCTGAGAGCTGGTATCTTTTTCTAACCATGAAAAGATAAATACCGTTTGTTCCCTGTCCCAGAGGACCTCGCTGCCTAGCAGAGGAGGCAGACAGATAAACAAACGATGAACAACAACATGATCATTTCTCTAGCACTTACTAACAGACCTTGGGAGGTGACAGTTAGGCACACTTCTCCAAGGAGATCATTAATACCTGAGCTCAGTCTAAAAGGGCAGGAAGGAATGAGAGGCGGGGAAGTGTGAGGCGGAGCTCCTGGGGAGAGCAGGAGAGCAGCCATGTGGAGCAGATCATATGGCTCTTTCACCCAACTGCGAATGGTTCCAAGAGGAGGAGCCTTGAAAGACAAGGCTGGGTTGATATTGAAGGATGGTGTGTGGACTTAAATGAAGGTTTGCTGGGAGGCTGAGGCAGGAGGACTGCAAGTTCAAAGCCAGCCTCAGCAACTAAGTGGGCCCTAAGCAACTCAGGAAGACCCTGTCTCTAAATAAAATACAAAATAGGGCTTAGGATGTAGTTCAATGGTTGAGTGCCCCTGAGTTCAATCCCTGGTATAAAAAAAGAAAGAAAGAAAAAGAAAAAAAAGAAGTGAAGGTTTGGGAGAATCATTGAAGAATTTCAAGCAGGGCATTGGCTCCGAGTGATGGCTCTGACTGCAGGATAAAGGGTGGCTTGAAGGATACAATATGCACTGTAGAGAGAACAGACAGGATGTGAGCACAGTTATCCAACAGAGGAGAAATGAGGGTGAAGCAAGCCGTGGTACAAAAGAGATTCGAATGAGAAGCCGAAGGTTGTGGTTAATAAATYAAAAGCTGGCTGGGAGCAGGAAGGGTGAGGAAGGACAGAGAAACTTTTGAGGAGACTCTGAGCATTCAGGCTGGGCTGGGGCAGGGGTAGATAGCAGCGCCCTGTAGGAAACTGGACAGTGGAGAGGAGTTGGTTTGGGAGTGGGGAAAARTGATGGTTTCGCTTTGTACATCATGATGATCTAAGCAAGAATGTTCCTGGGTATTGGAATGATGGGTCTGGAGGTCAGAAGAGAAGCCGGGATGGAGACCTGGACAGGGCAGTCACAAGCACACGGGCCAAGCTTGAAATCCTGGGAGAGAAGATGTTTCCCTGTGAAGCTTGTATGGAGGGAGTAAAGAGGAAGGTCCACACCCCAACCCCGTGTACCCCCAGCAGAGAAGGAGGACCAGGGACAGAAATTGAGAAGGAAGAGCCAGAAAAGTCCAAGAAATTGCAAGCAGGTGGTGTGAGAGGTATGAACAGGGGCGAGCCTATAGGCGAGTCACAGGAACACGTGAAAGTCACTTAAATCAGAATGGGGTCCTGGAGAGTAGATCCCCTCATATGCTTGAAGAAGAGATTAGGAATTAGTAAGAACTGCATACAAGAGGAAGGAGCAGCTTTCGAGAAGCCCTGCAGTTATAAAACAGCATGACACCTGTGGGGAATCACACATATTTCAGTCTGGCTCCAGCCAAGGGTTTGCGATTAAAAATTAGAAAGGTTGGTGAGGGCTGGAAAATGATGTGTCATGGATTCTGCGTTACCCTGAAAGCCACAAGGAACCGCTGAATATTTTAAGTTGGAAATAACATGGTAGCCATTCATCATTGCTTCTTCAAGTATTCACTGCATGCTTGGTACTAGGGATACCATGGTGTACAACATACATGTGATTCCTGCTTACAGAAAACACACTGAATAAATGCTGTTGTGATGGGTGTCAAAGAGGATGTGCAGGTGTTTAAGGACTCACCTCGTCCAGGGTGTCAAAGGCTTCCCTGAGAAATTATGTTTAAACCGACCTCATAAAAAAGAATGGCACTATTGACATGAATGGGGAAAAGTGTCTGAGTTGGGGGGTTTAGGCAGGAGCAACCATAGGAAAGAACATTTTAGGCAGAGGAGAGAGTATATGCAAAGGCCCTGAGTCTGGCAGGGATGGGGAGAAGAGGAATCATAAAGATTGGGATGGGGGGAGCCCAGGAGCAAAACAGAGTGTGAATGAGGAGGCTGGAGTGGGAGGCAGGGGTGGGCATTTGTAGGGCATTGGAGGCCATGTTAAGGAACTTGGTCCATGCCATAAGAGCTTTGGGATCTTTGAAGATGGGGCTTTGGTTAGAAAATGTAGGAGGCAGGTCTCACAGTGGTTCATTTCCACCCAGGACACCAACATGGGAGGAAGGGTGAGTGAGCTTCATTTGTTATTGTCATTCCCTGATCACATTTTTTGAGGATCTGCAACTCCCAGGCCTGGGTGAAGGTACTAGTGATACAGCAGAGAACTGCACAGGCATTGCCCTGCCCTCCAAGGCCGGCAGCCACAGGGGACAAGCACATGATAACACACAGACATGAGATGTCATTCTCTTTTTCCCCTGTCTTCACAAGACAAGGACATGGTTTCTTCTGGTTCTGATATGAAATGATCTCCAAAATATATAGTTAATTTAGAAAAAGGAAAAAGGCAAAATGCTGCACACCAGTGTGGGCATAATTTTGGTTACCATATTTATAAACAATAAAAAAGGGGCCAGGTACAGTGCTACACACTATCACCCCAGCTACTCAGGAGACTGAGATAGGAGGACTGAAAGTTCAAGGTCATCTTAGGCAATGTAGTGAGGCCCTGTTTCAAAATAAAAGGGCCAGGATATATCTCAGGGGTAGGGTGCATGTGTACATGAGACCCTGGGTTCAATCCCCAGTACAGAAAAAGGGGAGGGCAACATATATATGTCTGTATGTTTGCAGATGCACAGCCTGGTTTCAGAAGGAGACAGGAGCTGGGAGCGGGTCACAGTGACTAAAAACATTATTATTTATTTGAAAACAACAACAACAAATTTTTCAGGTGTGGCAGCAAGGAGGGAGATTACCGATTATATCTCTCAGCACTGGGCCACCCCTCCCAAACTGTGCCCCAGCCTGTCTCCACCCTCCTCAGATCCCCAGCCTACTGAGGAGGCTCATTGTAAAAGGAAAGGTAAATGCAAGAGGCGAGAACCATTGCTGATTAATTAGGAAATGAGAACATGCTGCATCCTGTTAGGACAGGCTGTTCCAAACCRAGGAGGGGAGGAGTGTCACATCACAGGCCCCTGGCAGAACTGTCTGTCAATATCCGTTGAAAACTCTGGTTAGAGCTCCCACATCAGCTTGAGAAGGAGCGGGGAGTAAAAGCATGCAGAGTTCAGCTCAGAAGACGAGTTGAAAACCATCTAGAGGTGTGCATCGGTAGAGAGCATTTTCCTTTAGGAAGGAAGGAAACTAACCTTTAACAAGCTGGCCCTCTTTGCCAGCCATGGGGTTGGAAGCTTTATGGACATTATCTCATTAAATCTTAATTAAAAGAAAATATCAGGGAGATGTTTCTGCTACTTTACAGATGAGAAAACTGAATCTCAGTGGGGTTGAATAACTTGCCTGGACTCATGCAGACGATGGATGAGGGGCCAGGTCTTCTGCCCAGATCCATCCATTCTGTTATATCTTGTTCTAGGGTAGTGACAGTGAGGGGGAGCTCAAACTCAGTTATCTTAAGTCCCTTTCTAATCTCAGACTTGACATGCTACAGAGTATCCAGGGCAAAATAAAAAGCTCCAGTGATCAACATTCAACTCCTCCCTTTGTCTCTGGAGAATCTGTGGTGCATTCACCCATCAGGGGGCATTGGCCAGAAGCAAGGTTGCTAGGGCTGCACTCCACTGCCCTGAACTCAGGCAGGGTTTTCTCAGGAAGGGAGAAGTGGGAACTGGAAATGAGGCAGCAGCTGGCAGCATCTGCTAAGCATAGCCCTGAGGCTTGCTCATTTCACCACCAGGACACTCAGGCAAGGCACCTTCAGCCTGGTAGTGTCAAAGAAACCTTGCTGGGGCACAGCAGTGTGGGGGAAGGCAGGGTGTCAGGACCAGGGAGCTTCCAGAACAGACCAGGGCTAGAGCTGGATGGGGCAGTACGTGGTCCATAGGCCTTCTTATAAGAAGAATGGGGTGTAGGTTTGGGGAATAGGAAATCAATGAAGTCAAGCCTTGGTCTCTGCAGTCTGGAACCCAGCATGTTGGGAGTAGGACCCAAGGTTGGAAAAGGTAGTGGGAGTGGATACTTACAGCCTCTCTTGCCTTTCAGGTCTCTCCCTCAGGGACTTTGGGCCCCCTCCCTGTCCCTCCTGTCCACAGCACCATGCCTGGAACAGGTGAGCTTAAAAATAATATTTCTAGATAGCTCCATAATTCCTTTAGATAACAGGATATTAGAACCAGAAAAGATTCCTTGTAGTTCTAATATCCTGTTATCTAAAGGAGAACTAGCATCCCATAAATGCACTTCAAGGGACATTAAAATCCATGCCGAGAACAGGATTCCATGATCAAATAAATTTGGAAAGTTCTGGGTAAGAAAAGTTTAGACAAATGTGTTTGTTTTAATGGCAGCACTTCTCAGCAATCAAACACATACTACATTGCAAAATGAGCTGTAGAGAAGGCCGAAGGAAGGCAGGGTTTTCCATTACTAATTTTATTTTTTTATTTTGAGACAAGGCCTTGCTAAGTTGCTGAGGCTGACTCAAACTTGCAATCCTCCTKCCTCAGCCTCCCGAGTCATTAKGATTAKAGGTGTGTGTCACCACACCTGGCTCAAACTAATTTTTAACAGGATTCTATTTTTCAAAAATCACCTGTAGCATTTCAGAGAGCCAGAGATGTTGGTGATATGTCCAAATATGCCCAGGACAACCACAGGGGCTGCTTCATATCCTGCCATAATTATCATAATTATTATTTTTTTTCTTTTGGCACCAGGGATTGAACCCAGTGGTGCTTAATATCTACATCCCCAGTCTATTTTATTTTTTCTTATATTTTGAGACAGGGTTTTATTAAGTTGTTTAGGGTTTCACTAAGTTGCGGAGACTGGCTTTGAATTTGTGATTCTCCTGCCTCAATCTCCTAAACCGCTGGGATTATAGGTGTATACCACCACACCGAGCTCTCTCTTCCATTTTTAAAAGTGTCTTAGCTTGATGGTAAAATGTAGGTCACCCTATGCATGGAACACAGTTTGGGAAGCCCAAACACAAGAATTCCATTTAGTCCAAATCTTCTATTTTACAGAGGACAAAAAAGAGTTTATGGAAGTGAAACAGGTTGGCACAGGCCACAGAACTGCTTAGTAAATGACCCAGGACCAAGATGAGACTCAAGTCCCCTTTCTCCTGGTTCAGCACTCCTTCAAGGAGATCACATGCCTTTTCTTGGGTGGAGAGGGGAAAACTAGAGTCATTAGTTATGTGCTTGGGTTCTCTTTTTCCCTGTATGCTTCTCTTTCTTTCCTCCTCTCTCCTTTTTCCTATGTTTCTTATTCTTTTTCCCCTCTCGCCTCTTGGTCTAGGGCTACAGATGCCCAGCCCAGGGTGTGTCGTGAAGTAGGATGATTTTGGCATCTATCCTCCTTGCATTTGGCAAGTCCTGAACTTGCAGAACCAGCCACACTGCTCTTGAGGGCCTGGGCTGCAGAGAGCATCTGCCATCAGAGTCTCTCTGGGGACAGGTCAGGCCAGCGGGTGGACATTGATGCTAATGCGATAGGAAGTGGGCAGATGGGTAGGGGAAGGGTGAGGTCCCTTTGGGGATATACCAGGAAGTCAGGTGTTAAAAAGGCCATATCACAACATCCCAGGATCCAACAGCATTCATTTCCCTCTATTTTTGCCTCTCCTTGTCCTTAGTAACGTCATCCTGTTCCCCTGGGAACAACAGCAGGCCTTCGTCTCCTGGCTCAGGACTCCACGCCAGCAGTCCCACTGCGTCTCAAAATAACTCCAAAGCAGCCATGAACTCCTCCTCCAGCTTTAACTCCTCAGGGTAAGACCCAGGGGGAGAGTGCAGAGGCAGCCGGCAAGCCCAGGGGCATGTGAGGAGTTGGACCAGTGCCTTGGGACAGAGAGCTTGTCATAGGACTGGAACAGAGGAATGGGCTGGCAGGGAGAGAACAGAGTGGACAACTAGACTGGACCATATCCCTAGGGAGCAGGGATTTTAAAATTAAACTGCAGCCAGGGGGCTGTCCTAGGAAGGAGCTGATGTCAACAAAGCCAAAATTTCCATCCTCACTTGGACAATGGAAATTTCCAAGCCATCCTGTCAGAAAGGACCAGGTCTTCTGCTGGGCTCAGGGGCAAGCTGGTCCATGTCAGGAACCCGGTTCTCAGGATGTTCTGACGCCAGCCAAGAGCTTAAGCACAAAGAACACCCTGGGCTTTAGGCATGGGTGACACCAGGAAGGAGGGAGGTGATGCCAACCCCTATTCCCACTGCCACCTGGGCAGCAGTGGGGACAGCAGCCTCCAGGGCTTTGGAAGTTGGACTCTAGGTTCCAGACCTGAACTTGTAGGAAGAGATGCATCTGCTTGTCCCAATCCAGGTGGTTCAACAAGACAGTCAGCTTTTACTGGCCAATTGTGGTATAGTCCCCAAAGATGGAATTCCCCTGGTACCAGAGAGATAAAGAGAGAGAGAGAGAGAGAGAGAGAGAGAGAGAGAGAGAGAGAGAGAGAGAGAAACACCAAATAATATATTATTAGGAGCTTTACAAAATTACTTTGAGGTATGAGACATATTGGAAAGTCTACAATTCAGTGGGGTTTTTTTGTGTATTGCCAAGGTCATTCAACCATTACCATTACCTAGTTCCAGAACATTTTCATTTCACCCCAGAAAAACCCCTGTATGTGTTAGTGGTCGCTCCCATTTCCATCTTTTCCAAGCACATTAGTTACTTTATGATAGACCTGTTTCCTTCTTCCTTCCAGATCTTGGTACCGATGGAATCATCCCACCTACCTCCACTGAGACCAGAACGTTCCTCCTGCTGCACCTGGCCCTGTATGACCCCCCACCCCCAAGGAAGGGAGCCACGCCCTCTCTATGTGGACAGATTACTTTCAGAAGCGTGGAAGAAAAGCCCCACTATGAGTGAACCCAGACTCTTGCCTTCTTCAAGAGCAAGGGCTTCCAGAGAGCCAAACTGTGATAGAGCCATGTGCTGACTCTAATGCTCTTGAAATACATCTCCCTCCCAGGAGGTTTCCGTTTTCACCGTCTTTGCCTGTGCCCTGAGCTTCTACCATGACTTCACCAAGGCAATAGTCCTTCAGAGAAAAGGACTTCTTGTAATTATTCTCCAACTCATCCATGGGATTCTGGGGACAGCCATTTGCCTGGCGTGCCATACTGCCAGAGACAGTGGTTTTGATTTTGAACTTAGCCACAATCCCAAACTGATCCCAAAATCTGTGGAAAGATTTGAATCCTGTCTCTACCAAAGCCTGATGGTTTCTCTGTTTAGTAGTTTTCCCAGTGATTCACCATTTCATCCTATTTTCTTTTTAAGCTCACCCTTCTTTCTTTCTACAAACAGATTCTCTCTCTCTCTCTCTCTCTCTCTCTCTCTCTCTCTCTCTCTCTCTCTCTCTTTTGGGTGGGGGATACTGGGGATTGAATCCAGGGGAACTCTACAAAAACTGAGCTATGTCGCTATTTCTTTTTTATCTTTAATTTTGAGACAGGATCTCACAAAGTTGCCCAGGCTGGTCTTGAACTTGTGATCCTCCTGCCTCAGCCTCCCAAGTTGCTGGGATTACAGGCATGTGCCGCACCCAGCCAGCTCCATCCATTCTTGCATTCTCCAAGTACCTTCCTCTCTACAGATGGCTGAGCCACCATCTGTCCCCTGGGCATGCTGCTCTGCCCCCTGGTGCTCTTCTGTTGGCTCACATCTACCCCAGAGTTCAAGAGCACTTGCTCTCCCTCTCTTTCCCTGTGTTTCTCCTTAGCCCACCCTCCCTCTTTCTCCTGGCTACATAAAAGGAAGAACCCAAGAGCAAACACACAAATGTTGTTGGCAACCTGTACATAGTGCTTTCCTGGTTTTACATTATGTTCTTCTCTCCTTAATGTGGAATTTTCCAGAAAGATGTTTAACTCAGGTGTGAATTTTGAAGATGTCTCTGTAATATTTTATCTTCTTAAAAAAAAAAAAAAGAAAAAAGGAAAAAAATACCAAAGTGTGAAATACTTCCAGAGTTCCCTCTCAGGCTGGGAGTCTGCTGACTTTTTTTGGGAATATTATCTCTAGAGTCTCCTTTGTGGGCCAGTGTGTAGAGCTCTAACATGAAGCCATCCCAGAAATGGTCACTTTTTTTCTTTTTTTTAAAGACTGCATATCCAGGAAACTGTTGAGACCCAAAGGAATCTCTCGGTTTCTAAATAAATCTGTATAGTGATGATATAAACTACGTCATCATTGGTAGAAGAGGTTTAGATTACCGTGTTGTGCCTTTTCTTTGTGAGGAGTGGGAAAGGGGAGGGGATATGAGTGCATATAAAGAAATGGGGTGAGAAGAATGATTCAATTGGTACAGGAAGTGTATTGCCCCCAAAGGGGAGGCTAAAGATGGCCTACATTGACACAGGACCCTGATGAGTTCAGAGTTCTTACTTYTTGGGATACAACTATCTTGGGGCACAGTAGGCAAGAATTCTTTTCCTCATTTTGTAAGTGGGACAATGGTGAATATTTAAGACCACGTCACTCAGAGACTCCAGAGGTGGAGCTGAGGCGAATCTCTCTTATCTCAGATGTCCTGAACGTTAATTATAATTTATTCACAACATGAAGCCTTAGAAATTTAAGGCAGAGTAAATTTCATAACCATATATATGAAGAAGGTTGAGATGCAGACAAGGCATCCTGTGTTTTCTCTTAGTTGAATAAAAACTTAAGCAGCTACACATCTGGGCGTAGTGACACAAACCTGTAATCCCAGTGACTGACAGGAGGATTGAAGTTCTAGACTCAGAAATGTAGCAAGACCCTGTTTCAAAATAAAAGGGACTGGGGATGTCACTCAGTGGTAAAGCACCCCTGGGTAATGGTGAATGGGGAAAAACTAGAATTAATATTAAATAGTTGTTGCAAATAGTAGCATCCACATGGGAAACCTACACATAAATCCTTAGGAGTGGACTCCTCCGGATGTTTGAATAGGGCTTACTCTAAGACTTGTAGTTCATGCCATGAGGTAGGAGAAAGGCTATTGGTAGCAGTTACTTTCTCAAGAAAAAGATCCACAACCACAAGAATGGGACCCTATTTAGAATAAATTATAATCCACCAAAAAAAAAAAAAGGGCGAGAGAGAGAAAGAGAGAGAGAGAGAAGAAGAAGAGGAGGAGGAGGAGGAGGAGGAGGAGGAGGAGGAGGAGGGAAGAACAGATCTAGTTAAAATCAGTGAGCTGAAAGTTGGTCTCTTGCACTGTCTCCAAACTCTGGTTTTCATCCAAGGGCTCATGGTTGGTTTTTTTTTTTTTTTGGTACCCAGCATTGAATCCAGGGATGCTTAACCACTGAGCCACATTCCCAGCATGTCCCCCCCCACACACATTTATTTTTTTTATTTTGAGACAGGGTCTTGCTAAATTGCTGAGGCTARCTTTGAATTCATAATTCTCTTGCCTCAGCCTCCTGAGTCACTGGGAGTGTAGGCATGCACAGCCATACCCAGCAGCCCATGATTTTTATGAAAAACAAAATTGTAGCCTAATTGTTCCATCTCTGAAGATTCCATTGACTGGGACATTTGCTGCACAGAGTCTAACCTGGAAGTGAGTACAAATTTAACTTTCATGTCTGCATGATTCTGTGAAATCCATAATTCCAGGGAAGTTGACTAGAAGTTTGGTTAGTTTCTTCAGCATCTATTTATAAATAAGAATCTAAGGGCAACAACCAATCATTGTTAGTGGGGAAAGAAAAGAGGAAAAGATTGTTACTGTTGCTTTTCAAATTTTATTTCATTCTTTGTTTGATCTTTAGTTCACTCAAAGCTGGTGAGTACAACTGTGGGCTCCTAAGGCAAAGGATTTTTGGTTCAATTCAGGGAAGGCACTTATTAACCCCAGGTCTCGAATAAGAAAGTCTGCCTGAGGCCTAAATTTCTGGGTGCAGTGATCCCCTCTATGGGTACTTTGCATGCTCCTGGTATATCTTTGGGGGTTCCTCTGCTCCCATAGATTGTGTGTGTGTGTGTGTGTGTGTGTCGCAAGTGGTGCTATTAATAATTACTCGGAGGTGGATTGTCTTTAAATGCCAGTATATATTTAATCACACCAATCATCAAATATAAACAATTAATACAAAAAGTGTTGGGTGTGCGGGAGCACCCCAACTACAATTCAATGCACGATAATTAAACACTATAAGCAAATCACACAATCCTAGGCTAACCACAAGCCCCAAAATACCTCCAATGCCACGTGACTTCTCTTACCCAAAGAGCAGACTTGTCCTTGTCTGGTGGTTCTCTCCAGCCAATGGCTGGATGTCAGAGAATGGTGGAATCAGTCCTGGACAGTCAGCAAGGTGGCCAGTCTCACTGATGTCCTTGGAGCAAAAAATCTTTAAGGTGGCAGGACAAGCAATTTAAATACAGTTCCAAGTTGGTGGTGTACATTTGTGATTAGTTACACCCAGTGAAAGTCAATGTCCATTGTTACGTCTGGTGAGGTGATATAATTGCAACTGGGCATGTTCTTCGTGCATATCCATGGAGCTGTGCTCCCTATCAATTGTAACCAGTCATTGCTAAGGTTGCCTATAGCTAGTGTCCTTTACAGCTCCTTATCAATTGCAAGCAGACATGACTAAGCATGTCAATGGCTGCTGTTCCTTATGGCCAGCAACTTAGTGAGTCCCAGCATGTCCCAGCCTGTCTATGGCAGATGCTCCTTACAGTGTGGAAGCAGACCCTTGGAGTTGGGGCTTATTTTTTTTCTCAGTGTCCCCATACTTAACATTGTGCCTACACATAATAGGCAATTAATATTTTTTTAAGTTAGATATGGTCCTTTTTCTTTTGTCCTTTATTTATTTATCTTTATGTGGTGCTGAGGATCAAACACAGGGTGAGGCAAGTGCTCTACCATGAGATACAACTCCAGCCCAGGCAATTAAGATTTTTAAAGTAGAATTTCTTTTTTTCTCTAAACAACTTCTAATATTCTCTACTGTGGTAGGAGATACAAATGCAAAACATAGTATACATATTAGGAGATCTAGTCCAGTTAGTACCATATCTTGGTGGTTAGGAGCATGAACCCCTAAATTATCTTCCCTGAGATCATGCCCACCTATGCTTCCTATTTTTTTTTTTTTAGTTGTTGAAGGACCTTTATTTTATTTATATGTGGTGCTGTGACTCGAACCCAGTGCCTTGCACTTGTTGGTAAGAACTTTGCTTCTGAGCCACAACCTCAGCCTCCTTTGCTTCGTATTAATCATGTCACTTTGAGAAAAGTCTCTCCTGTTCTGTGCCTTAATTTCTCACCTGTAAAATGGATGTAAAAACAGATCCCATTCCTTACTGTTATGATGAGGATTGAATGAATTAGTATTTGAACAATGCTTGAGTTATGTCTGGTGAGTTAATAAGGCAATGCTGTATAAGTGTTGTCAGTGTTATTGTGATTATTGGGTCATTGTTATTAAATCAGTGAAAAGTTTCCTGTTCTCTGCTCTCCCTAATAACCCAAATCTTTCCTGAGGGATTCCAGTATTAACAAGGATCTGTTTTGGTGGAACAGAGATGTGGCCAAAGATATATAAATTAATAAAGTTTAATCCCACGTTATGGTGCTTGAACCTGGAATCCTAGTCACCCAAGCCTAAAGGACAGGTGCCTTCCTTAATCACCTCAGCCTTTGGACTCCTGAAGGCTTTAATGCTGTATTCTTTTTTTTTTTTTTAAGAGAGAGAGAGAGAGAGAGAGAGAGAGAGAGAGAGAGAGAGAGAGA